ATTCCAAGATTAAGTAAGTAATTGCTGATAACACTAACTACTGTAAACTAACTGTTTCAGTCTACTTAAAATCACTATGTATGTCGGAAATAAAAAAAAACTGGTACAGTACTCCATTATGACAACCTAGTTGGAAGAGTATGTCGCCAGAAATACACTACTTGTAATTCAGAACTGATAACATGCCTTTGGCAGAGATTTAACTATGCCCAAAAAAACTGCTTTTGTTTAATTTTAATGATAAATTTCGGCTTGTTTAGCTATGCATGTGTTTTTGTTTGTACTTAAATACCCTGATAGCCAAGGGAACTTCCTCAGTTTGTCTGCAATTCATTTCATTTTCCTGATAAAAATGCTGCACGATATGTTATATTATTATAAATAAATTAAGCAAATATTCTTTTCTAAACATTGTGCTATTTTTAAAAATCTTGTTCATAATTTCAGCGCAAGATAGCTAACAAAAATTTTCATAATGTACGTCGCATGAGCGGTGGCAAACAAAACACTCAACTTGATTGGCGTGTTAAAAATTGGCATTGACCNCACTGTTTCAGTCTACTTAAAATCACTATGTATGTCGGAAATAAAAAAAACTGGTACAGTACTCCATTATGAGAACCTAGTTGGAAGAGTATGTCGCCAGAAATACACTACTTGTAATTCAGAACTGATAACATGCCTTTGGCAGAGATTTAACTATGCCCAAAAAAAACTGCTTTTGTTTAATTTTAATGATAAATTTCGGCTTGTTTAGCTATGTATGTGTTTTTGTTTGTACTTAAATACCCTGATAGCCAAGGGAACTTCCTCAGTTTGTCTGCAATTCATTTCATTTTCCTGATAAAAATGCTGCACGATATGTTATATTATTATAAATAAATTAAGCAAATATTCTTTTCTAAACATTGTGCTATTTTTAAAAATCTTGTTCATAATTTCAGCGCAAGATAGCTAACAAAAATTTTCATAATGTACGTCGCATGAGCGGTGGCAAACAAAACACTCAACTTGATTGGCGTGTTAAAAATTGGCATTGACCCCACTAAGCTGCTTTGCTTAGCATATTCAGATATTTTTTTTTTTGTATCTGGGCAATTTGCATGTATTTGTGCTATGTGCTATACTTGTATTTATAATCGAATGATTGTTTTTTTAGGTGTTTTTTTAATCATTCGCTAAGTATTTATTATATCTGTCTGATGTAGAACATATCTACATACATTACAGATATATACTGTATAAAAACTTGGGGATTTCTAAATTTGTTTTGCTCAACATATTTTTCGCCAACAATTCTTCGCTTGCATTCCTCAAGTTAGATAAATGCATAAACAACATTTGTCCCAATCTTGTTCAACTAATTACATAAATAAATACAACAATGCATATACATATGTACATATGCAGGTATATGTGCACATATAGTAAATATTCAATTACTCACCCGACTGATCTTCGCTCGTGACGAGCTCTTATCCTTCATCTCGAATTCACTGTCACTATCCACTGGGTTGCCGCCTAGTGCAACGTCTTCCACCTCAGAGCGTTGTAATTTACGATATTTTCGCATGTCGTGTTTGCTGGGATTATAATCACGCTTAGGATCGTAGCCGGGTATGCCGAGATCGGTGGCCTCATCGTTGAATTCACCAGAACTAAATTCGCCTTCCTCGTCCTCGTCAGAGTATTCAGCAACACGATCTATACGATAATTATGATTGTGCATGTGTGAGTGATTTGCGGTGATTTGTTGATTGGGATTTGGATTATGGTTCGTTTTATTATTACTATTATTATTACTGTGCTTAAGATTATGAGTTAAATTCATCAATTTTCGCAACGTTCGTCTTTTGTTTGTGGCTTGAACATTGTTTGTGTTGCTATTGTTATTGATTTGAATGCGTAAATTCTGCATTGTTTGCCACAAGTAGGGCAAGAGTTGAGAGGAATAAGGAAATTGAGCACTCAAGATATGCGGTTGTTTTTGCACTGATACTACAACCAGCAGATCACCAGCGTGAAAGGCAGCAGATAAGATTTTTTGTCGTTAGGTACTTGACACTGAGATTATTCTTTATCATCTTTTTAATTCTGACACTGATATATGCACTTTTTATTAAAATAAATATATGTATTTGATTTAACAGATAAAGGTGTGTATATACTTATAATTTTTAATGTACTTTCAAGTGTTTAAATAACGATCTTAAAAACGATTTCGCAATTAATTGCGCAGATATTTAATTTTCCTTAATTATAAGCACCACACTGCCTTAACTACTGTATTGTTTTATAATTTTTAATTTGTCTTAAATTGTTTCGTCGAGCGAAATTAAAATTTACGCGCGATCACACGCCTGTTTCACAACTACGCTACCAACGTCGTGACTTTCGTCAAAATACGTACATACGCGTATATTTCTTTATTAGGTTATGCGATTGTTAATACACACGAACAGTTTGTTCCGCTTGAATGTGATATCTCTCGAGTAGTCGAATTTCTACTGTTCCCTATCGGTTGCTCGCAAGAAGTCAACAACAGTGCTGCTGCCAAACACTGCTGTTTCGCGTAGTCAACATTCGTTTTTCCTCAGCCGGGCCAACTCTCTCTCACACGCGAGCACTTGGCCAATTTGAGCGTAGTAAGGGCCGAGTTGTAAGCAGTGAGTAATCACTAGCTACAGCCCATTAATTGCGATCTAGTTAAGCTCGGAACACTTTGACGACTGCAACTTCACGACGTAACGACAGCGACATCATTTTGTCGACAAATGTCGCCTTGAAGCCAGCTTCTTAAACATTTTGAAGACCTCAGCGACATAGCAAACAGCTGATTTTAAAGTTTGACATTTTGGTATATTTATTTCACAAATTGTGTATTTTTATTTAAGTAAATAAGAAAAACATGAACAATCAAGAATATGTGATTAATTTTGCGACAATTTAATTTTGCAGCACTACATCTACTCATTGTCGCCGGCAAAATTAGAAATAGATTTAATTTGGCGACGTCGACAATTGCAGTCCTGCAGCCAAGATGTCGTGCTGTCGTCAAAATAATTGTGTCCGTAAGAACGTGTGTATTTAAAATTTGACAGATGCTGCTTGTCGCTTGCTGTCGTCAAAGTGTTCCGAGCTTTATATATATGTGCTCAGTCCACAGACAAGAAGTGGCACTTTTTATCGACTCTCGATGCAGTCAACGCACGAATATATATGTATACATACTGAACAAGTTTGAATGTACTATGTGCATTAGGGCGGGCAAATTTGTTTAATATGTACGTATAGCATAGGAGGATTCTATGTACGTTTAATTCTAAATAAGTGATGTGGATATATATTGCCGGAGAAACCATGGGTCTAAAATCAATTTGGAGTTTGCCAAATTGCGAAAATATGATTCGAAGAAAATATGAAAAACTTTCACTGTTGTTCCCTCGGGTGGAAATTACAATGAGTGCAGAAATGGATTCCTCATACCAAAAAACCTCCTAAAGCATGTTTTATATAAAATTTAAATGTTAAGAAACCTATTTACGCAATTTGACAAACTCCAAATTGATTTTACAGCCATAGTTTATTGGGTAAATTTGTCTAGAATTACACGTAGAACCCTTCGGTGCTATACGCTCATAGTAAAAAAAAAAAATGTCCCATACAATTTGACCCGCCCTAATGTGCATACTTTTGTTTAAGCACTTGCGTATAATTACATTTACGTTTACGCTTCATGAAAACAACCAGTGAAGATACAATAGACTTATATTGAAAATATGGTCATAAATATTGAGCAGATATACAGACCAAGCGAATAATAATACTCATGCATTCTCAACAATGAAAACAAAGCGGAAAGAGCTGAACGTCAAAACTGCGGCAAAATGTCGCATACGCCACGCTATTCATAGTACATATGAACTTTCATGGCTGTCAAAAAAATAAATAAATTGATGTATCTGCAGAATGGATACCATACATACATGTCTACATATGTTTCTATACTTAGTATATAGGTATGTACATAAGCACCTATGCACAATGAAGAATATGTATAAAACTATGGGTTGCCAGCACCGGCTATTCATAGCACATAAGCGAACTGAGCACTTGTTGACAGCTGACTGGCCACGATTGTAGCGTGTGGCGTCTACCTTGCTCACTATTTTTTTACGTTCGCTGCTCAGCAACAGCTAAGCGTTACGCTTGTATTACATTGTATTTAACACATGAAATGTCTATCATGAGCAGAATGCCGTAAAATTTCTTTCACGTACATATGTATGTACATTAGAGTGCATCAGTAGCCATAAAAAAATCGCTACTGTTTTTGCGTCGGGACTATAACATTTATTCTGTAATATGAACACCGAGAAAAATTTCAGCAAAATATTAAGATTTACATGAACTGCACTGATTTGAAAAAAACCTCAAAAAAAATCTATTTATTTTTATACCCGAGCGCACTTGTGCACAAGGGTATTATAACT